TATAGCGCCTCTTGAGAGTAGGACAGTTTAGTTTAGTTTGTTCGCGTTTACAGTTCATGGTTGTTGTCGTTCAGTTTAAGGACTCTGTCGTGTCCTAGCTATGGGAGTCGCTGTTGTGTTGGCAGATAGACGGTTCTGAAGGTCGTGGGTTGGCGTCCTGAAGGAGCCAGACTTGTTTAAAAAAATGACATTGACTCCCAGGTCGAGCATTCTTGAGTGGGTACAAGGGACAGTCCTAGGAATTAAAGGCGGCTGGCGTGATGATGACGTCACCCACCAAGCGCAGATTGGTCTATACAAATATAGATCTAGCCCTATATTCCCAATACGCCTAAATACGCACACACACACACACATTTGCGTGAATGACAATGCAATATTGATTAAACATATTCCGGGATAAATATTGTTAGTTTTTTTTTTTTTGTACATTCAAACTTGTGTGTGTGTGTGTGTGTGTGTGTGTGTGTGTGTGTGTGTGTGTGTGTGTGTGTGATATCAAGTGAACTGTACATTTTAAAAGAATTAATACATTTTAAAGGAAATTTATCGATGAGTTGACTATCAAAACACCAACGTGCACACACAGACACACACACACTCACAACAAAAAAGGAAAACAAAAATGAGTAAATTTAGTAATTAAATTTGTAGCAAATAATTATGACTAAAACGTGAAGGAAAACAAAAACCAATACATTATTAACCGCCCCCCCCCCCTTTTTCCCCGCCACAGGGATTCCCCGACTTCAAAGGTACCAACCCTAATTAGTCGCCTTCCGCGACATGCATGTTAGGCAGCAGTGGGTCCATTCTTGTCCCTCCTAAATAAAGTACCTAAACCAACAGTGGAAAATGTTTATTTAAAACGCATCATATAATTATTGTTCTGGACTAAATTTATTTATAATGTAATTTAAAGAACAGTAAGTGAGTGACACTCTGCTCCACCAGGACCAGATATCAAGCGAAAAACACCAGGTGACACAAAGTGTCACTATTCGGCTGAGAATCAATCACCCGGGTAGAAGTCCCAGAAACCACTTTTAGTAGTTGTACTTTCTACCCCAGGACATCGCACAAGCCATAAACATCCGATGACACAAAGTGCCACCATGTGGGTGATTATCCCCAGTGGAGAGGTCACAGAAACCGCGTTCAGCCATTAGACCATATTTATGGCCGGGCTCTATCCCGGCTCTGGCAAATAACGAAAAATTAGGCTATCCTCCAAATAACGGTCCCAAATTATCGAGGAGGAAAATATTCCCTAACAAGGGCCTCAGTCACGTGTCAATTGCGGCGTGAATTGGGGCTAAACTAAATGGCTAGGACTCACAAGCAAATAAAATGAAGGAAGCTGCAGGAGATGCGGTAGCTGCTGCTCGTAAGTCCCAGTTATTTAGTTTATCCTCAATCCACGCCGCGTGGCAGAAGTCGTTGGAAGGGCGCAATTTAAGACGACGGAAGTGCGCACTTGGCACGTGACTGAGGCCCTGTTAGGGTATATTTTCCGCCTCGATAATTTACGACCGTTATTCGGAGGATAACCAAAAATTGCATCCTACAGGGGGATGACTGTGATTGATAAACCTATTTTCAATCGTCAGGTTATGACTGACTTTCTACTCCACCAGGACATCACACAAGCGATAAACACCCGATGACACAAAGTGCCACCATGCGGATGAAGATCGTCGTGGAGAGGTCCCAGAAACCGCGTTCAGACATTTGGCCATATTTATGGCCTGCCTATATTGCGGCCCCCGGCAAAAGCCGGGGTGGAGCTTCAAATAAAAAATTTCATCCTGAAAAGGACGATAGAGAATAAGAATCGTCAGGTTATTTTAGGACCCCGACTACAACAGGGGTGGGGGCTTTAAAATAGAAACAAAAAACAAAAAAAGGTCCCTTATTGGGAACTGAACTGAACTGAATTTCTACCCCACCAGGACATCACACAAGCGATAAACACCCGATGACACAAAATGCCACCATGTGGATGAGGATCGCCGTGGAGAGGTCCCAGAAACCGCGTTCAGACATTTGGCCATATATATGGCCTGCCTATATTGCGGCCCCTGGTAAAAGCCAGAGTAGGACTTCAAATGACAAAAAATTTCGTCCTAGGAATGACGAAATTTGACATATTTAATGTAGTGTACCTTTCATTGGGGTGGCGTTGATAATTTAATAAATATGCATCATTAAATGATTATATATATATATATATATATATATATATATATATATATATATATATATATATATATATATATATATATATATATATATATATATATATATATATAAAAGACGAATCAATGATTGTACAAAGAAATTTAAACATTTGTGTCTATTAAAATAGTATAGGCACATACTGAGTAAATATACAAAAATACATACAATTAAAGAGTTATTTCCCATTTATTGCAAAACTGAATTGTGCCAAAATAATAAACGCATTTCACACTGTGAGCAGTATATATAAATCTATGGTGCTAACAACATAATTCAACACCAATCGGTATTGCATGAAATGGTCAACACTGTTCAGGCCGTTTTTGCTTTCCGTGAAATTAAATGATACACTTTTTAATCATGTTTATGTGCATAGTATTTAATTGCAAATTTTTAATGATTTGCTATTTTGAGCCTCTAATGTCCGATTAAAGCCAAATGTATAAGTGAAACTGATTTGGCCGGTTCTGTACCACGCGCAAGATGTGGGAAATCTGGACCCTTCTTGATAACGTTGCCGACATTTTGTCCGGTAGTGCGGACTGACGTCGCTTCCGTATTTCGACTTGAACACATCCGGCGGCCTCTGAATCTGACAGAAGGCATTGGAAAAAATAAATAAATAAATAAATAAATAAATAAATAATAATAATAATAATAATAATAATAATAATAATAATAATAATAATAATAATAATAATAATAATAACAATAAGTCTATTTAATTTAATAAATATACTTAAACTACTAATTGACAACAATAGGAAAGCTGAGAAACTTTTATATCACAACAGAGAAGTTTGTGGTAAATAATCAATAAAATTGACCTGCCAAAAATTGTTTGCAGCTTTATGTCTTGCAGATGAGGGTGTCGTATTATCTATTGGAAAAGTAAGGGGAAAAAACAGCCTTTGGCGTTGGCGAGTGCGACTAGCAAGACCCGCGCCTGTTAAGATCAATAAGAACATGGGAATTAAGAACCGTTGTTGCCACCACCAATATATAGTTAAGCTGCTTCTTCTCAGTCTCCAGACTGTCTGCAGTGATTTTTCTCCTTTATCCCTTTTCCTTTCATGATATTCCTTCTCAGCGCCTTTCCCATGACAGTCAATTCCCATGAACCGACCTTCATACCTTTATAAATAAGGGGATTTCATGGGTGAAGTTCCTCATCTCTTTAACACTGAGCCCGGTGACCATGCGCTATTAATGCCGCGTGATCCTTCACTCGACCTGCCTTGTTTACTCCGTAGGAAATGTAACACCATTAACTTTAGAACAAAGCATGCTCCAAAGCTGCCCGATCAAAAGTGCAATTCTCTGTCTTTCCGAGTGTATCAACAGCAGTCACAGGTAAGTTCTCCACAATATTACAGATACACAATTTAGAAATGGTCGAATACTTCAAACTCTTCTAAATGTAAACACTTTAAAATTGTTTAACATCATCTAGTCATCCCCTTGAGGGATGCGATTTTTCGTTATTTAAAAGCCCCACTCTGGCTCTTGCCAGGGGTCGAAATATAGCCTGACCATAAATATGGTCTAATGGTTAAACGCGGTTTTTGCGACCTCTCCACGTGTGATCCTCATCCACATGGTGGCACTTTGTGTCATAGGGTGTTTATCGCTTGTGTGATGTCCTAATGGGGTAAAATGTACTACTACTAGTACTAACACTTTAAAAACAAATCTTGGAAATTTAATTTTAAAAGCAGACAGGATATCAGTGTAAGAAAATTTTAAACTATCAGTTTCTGAAGGACTTGAAAGCTTCTAGTCCAGATGATATTCCAGCAGAAGATATTAAAACCCCCATAAATAGGTATGTAGAATTGCTGCACAATCTATTTAGAACCGTCCGGAGATTACAGAAATACGAACAGATTGGGGTGGGGGGGGGGGATATATTTGTAGAAACTGATCGATCGATTGATTTGTCCCTTCCGCGATTCTACGTGATGGCTTACCTCTACTAATTAGTAATTTATTAATGAGATTTAAAAAAAAAAAAAAAAAACAATATGTATGGCAGCCAGACAGATTCCAGACATCCTGTTCAATGTCTAAAAATATGATGTTTAGGCCACTTAAAACGGCTAGAAAAGCCAAGCCAGCAGTCACGTGGACTCGAAACTGCAAAAGAATTGGACGATTTCGCTCGAGCTGGTTGGGGGTCAACGGTCAACTGAGGGCAAAGGGCACAAACAGAAAAAAAAAAAAAAAAAGAATGTGGCAACATGCCCGTTTTAGCGCACCGAGGCCTACTGCTGATGTTAGATCTATATGTGTTTAACCTAATCGCTGCGGGGGAGGGGGGGTAGGGGGGGGAGTGACGTGGTCAAACACCGTTAGTTTCCAGAATATTCTCTAGTATCCAGACTGACCAGGGTGACCCGGCTTTGATGTAACACACGTTATTACCATTGTGTGAACGCACATACATACACACAAACATACTAGTACATAAATACAACCATACACCCACAGAGACAGACATAGTCTTTACCGACCGCATTTACCCTGTTTAGAGCCGTGGTATGGGTTGGGGTGTCGTGAACCTGGAATTTTAGGGTCAGATCCCTAGTGTAGTCGCCAGGAAACGAATTGTGCAGGCTAGGACATCCTCTCCCCCCCCCCACCCTTTTCTACCCCCCTCCCCATCAAGGTTCTCTCGAATGAGAACTCAGCTCTCTAACTACTCGACCATCGCTTCGCCACACAGGCGCATATACACAAATATACCCACTCATGTATACCTGGTTAGAAGATGTCTGAAGCCACTGCGAAACGACTGGCTCATGAGGCCGTAGACCAGCGGGTTGACACAACTGTGCGCGTACATGAGACTGATTGCTGCATAGTAAACCGACTGGAACCAGCCAGGCAGCTGGAGAATGGGGAACACAGTCACTGCCACTAAAACATACAGCTAGTTGAGAAAATCTTAATAAGGAATTTTCCTGAGAATTCACAACCGCCACGAGTGACACAACAAACCTATCGTGTCTAAATAATTAAAATAGTTCATGACTTCCCAGTTTATTAGTTGATGACTCCCCAGTGTAGTAGTTCATGACTCCCCAGTGTAATAGTTCATGACTCCCCAGTGTAATAGTTCATGACTCCCCAGTGTAATAGTTCATGACTTCCCAGTGTAATAGTTGATGACTTCCCAGTGTAATATTTCATGACTTCCCAGTGTAATAGTTGATGACTTCCCAGTGTAATAGTTGATGACTTCCCAGTGTAATGTTTCATGGCTCCCCAGTGTACTAGTTCATGACTACTATATGTAGCAGCTCATGACTGCCAGTGTAATAAATAGTTCATGACTCCCCAGCGTAATATTTTATGACTCCCCAGCGTAATATTTTATGACTCCCCAGGGTAATATTTTATGACTCCCCAGCGTAATATTTTATGACACCCCAGGGTAATATTTTATGACTCCCCAGCGTAATATTTTATGACTCCCCAGGGTAATATTTTATGACTCCCCATCGTAATATTTTATGACTCCCCAGCGTAATATTTTATGACTCCCCAGGGTAATATTTTATGACTCCCCAGTGTAGTAGTTCATGACTCCCAGTGAAATCGTTCATGACTACCCAGTGTAGTAATATATGACTCCCAAATGTAGCAGTTTTTTTTTTTTTTACATCCATTTGTAGTAGTTGCCTGATGTACTGACTCCCCAGTGTGGTTGTTCCCCAGCACGCTACCCGATGTAATGGCTTCCCAATGCTGCCGATCCAACAGTGGTAGCTTTTTACAGTAATCGCCCATCCCCTCCCTCCCCGCCGCCCCCCCCCCTTCCCACCAAACAGTGGCTCCCAATCAGTTTTGCTTCAAAGTTGTGCCCCCCACCACCTTCCCCACCCCCCTCCCCACCCCTGCCAAAGTAGTCGTTTCCTTGTCTAGACAACATTCATGGTTTCGACAAGCAGCTCTTAACATTTGGTTTGCGGTTCCGACCGGTTTGTTGGCTTGAGAAGGCGTGAGAACATCTTTGTCAGTGTTTGGATGTTTTACATTCAAATGTAGATGTTTTTCCTTGCATTTAGATGGCGTTTTTGACGTTTAGATGGTAGATGTTTTCTAGATGTTGTTCATTCGGAGTGAATTTATCAAATCTAACCTTAGAAACAGGATGAAATTTGACCTCTTAAGTGCTATCTTGACAGTAAAATGTTGCCTGATAAGAGAAGGAAAAGGCTGTTCCCCTTATCAGCTCCCTGATTGGGTATTAAAAGAAATAGGAACAGCTAAAGCATATAAAGTCATTTTGGATCTGAAGCTTCAACTTCAAAATCCAAGCTAAGTTTATCCTGTGGATCTTGTAAGGCAGTCTTCAGTAAAGATGAGGATATGATTCTATAGGGTAAGTCATATCAACTGCTATGTAATTTGTGACTCTTTCCATTTTGATATTTTTCTAGATGTTTTCCACGCAAATGTAGATGTTTTTAGATATTTTGTGACTTCGTTTTAGATGTTTTTTGTCAAAGAAAAGTGGCAACACTGATCTTTGTAGTGCAGTCTCCATTGAGATAGTGTGGCGGCACCAGGTTCGACGGAAAACTTTTATAGTAATCGAAATTGAAGCACGGAAGCTTTTTCAAGGCTCAGGACACTGAATGCCACTACATCAGGCTCAGAGGGGTTAAACGTGCAATCTTTCAGAGCTAGCACAATAGAGAACAAATTCCTCCTCTCATCATCATCATCATCATCATCATAATGATCATCTCATCATCATCATCATCATCATCATCGTTGTTGTCGTCCCGTAAAACTGCGTATCGTTGGGTCACCAGTTGCTGTTGACTGTGTGATCAGCTCTCTCCACTTATCACAATCAGGTGCGATGGACTTGATGGTTGCATGACTAAGGCCTGTCCAGTCCGTCAAGCTATGCATCCACGTCTTTCTTGGTCTGCCTCTTCTCCTCTACCGTGCCGTGTAGTATTGTTTTGAGAGGCTGTTAGATCATTTTACTTGTTTGTACAATTGTATTTTACTTCTTTTTAATGTAGTTAGAAAAGCATATTAGTTGCCAGTGTGTTCGGTGATTATTTGGCGAACCTCGTCATTTGTTATGCAGCTCCGGATGTTGTGTTATCTAGCCAACTAAAGAAACTCATTAAACCAAACATCGCATGAATCTACTCACCAACTATCTAAACCAGCTTGCCTGGCAGCCATCTAAACAATTGATTGATCAACAACCAGCCAGATAACGATCAAATACAGAAATCTACCATCTAACCAAGCAGCCAGCTAACCAAGCAGCCAGCTAGCGAAACAGCCAGCTAGACAAACAGCCAGCTAACCAAGCAGCCAGCTAACCAAGCAGCCAGCTAACCAAGCAGCCAGCTAACCAAACAGCCAGCTAGCCAAACAGCCAGCTAACCAAGCAGCCAGCTAACTAAGCAGCCAGCTAACCAAGCAGCCAGCTAACCAAACAGCCAGCTAGCCAAACAGCTAGCTAACCAAGCAGCCAGCTAACCAAACAGCCAGCTAGCCAAACAGCCAGCTAACCAAGCAGCCAGCTAACCAAACAGCCAGCTAACCAAGCAGCCAGCTAACCAAACAGCCAGCTAGCCAAACAGCTAGCTAACCAAGCAGCCAGCTAACCAAACAGCCAGCTAACCAAGCAGCCAGCTAACCAAGCAGCCAGCTAACCAAGCAGCCAGCTAACCAAACAGCTAGCTAACCAAACAGCTAGCTAACCAAGCAGCCAGCTAACCAAACAGCCAGCTAACCAAACAGCCAGCTAACCAAACAGCCAGTTTACCAAACAGCTAGCTAACCAAGCAGCCAGCTAACCAAACAGCCAGCTAACCAAACTGCCAGCTAACCAAACAGCCAGCTAACCAAGCAGCCAGCTAACCAAACAGCCAGCTAACCAAACAGCCAGCTAACCAAACAGCCAGCTAACCAAGCAGCCAGCTAACCAAGCAGCCAGCTAACCAAGCAGCGAGCTAACCAAGCAGCCAGCTAACCAAGCAGCGAGCTAACCAAGCAGCGAGCTAACCAAGCAGCCAGCTAACCAAACAGCCAGCTAACCAAACAGCCAGCTAACCAAGCAGCCAGCTAACCAAGCAGCCACCTAACCAAGCAGCTAGCTAACCAAGCAGCCAGCTAACCAAGCAGCCAGCTAACCAAGCAGCCAGCTAACCAAGCAGCCAGCTAACCAAACAGCCAGCTAACCAAACAGCCAGCTAACCAAACAGCCAACTAACCAAACAGCCAGCTAACCAAGCAGCCAGCTAACCAAACAACCAGCTAACCAAACAGCCAGCTAACCAAACAGCCTGTTAACCAAACAGCCAGCGGACCAAACAGCCAGCTAACCAAACAGCCAGCTAACCAAACAGCTAGCTAACCAAACAGCTAGCTAACTAAACAGCCAGCTAACTAAACAGCCAGCTAACTAAACAGCCAGTTAACCAAGCAGCTAGCTAACCAAGCAGCTAGCTAACCAAGCAGCCAGCTAACCAAGCAGCCACCTAACCAAGCAGCTAGCTAACCAAGCAGCCAGCTAACCAAGCAGCCAGCTAACCAAGCAGCCAGCTAACCAAGCAGCCAGCTAACCAAGCAGCCAGCTAACCAAGCAGCCAGCTAACCAAGCAGCCAGCTAACCAAACAACCAGCTAACCAAACAACCAGCTAACCAAACAGCCAGCTAACCAAACAGCCTGTTAACCAAACAGCCAGCGGACCAAACAGCCAGCTAACCAAACAGCCAGCTAACCAAACAGCTAGCTAACCAAACAGCTAGCTAACTAAACAGCCAGCTAACTAAACAGCCAGCTAACTAAACAGCCAGTTAACCAAGCAGCTAGCTAACCAAGCAGCTAGCTAACCAAGCAGCCAGCTAACCAAGCAGCCACCTAACCAAGCAGCTAGCTAACCAAGCAGCCAGCTAACCAAGCAGCCAGCTAACCAAGCAGCCAGCTAACCAAGCAGCCAGCTAACCAAGCAGCCAGCTAACCAAGCAGCCAGCTAACCAAGCAGCCAGCTAACCAAACAACCAGCTAACCAAGCAGCCAGCTAACCAAACAGCCAGCTAACCAAACAGCCAGCTAACCAAACAGCCAGCTAACTAAACAGCGAGCTAACCACACAGCTAGCTAACCAAACAGCCAGGCAGTGAAGCAGTTTTGCAACCAACTTATTCCCTTACAAAACAGTTAATAAACTAACTAACTAGCAACAACAACAACAAAACCAATTTCAGTTTAACTTACTAACCAGCCAAGTAGCCAGGTATTCAACAAACTAGCCAATCATTCAACACAATAATTAAGCAATCAATCATCCACTCACAACTTAGTCAAACAACCCACTCACACACTAACCCACTTGGGTTCCATCACGTTTTTAGACCCGATAGGTTGTAGCTAACACCAGACCAGTGTCGCCGTTACATGTGTCCTAAATATAAATTCTTTGAAGGTTGAACCGGGTATCAGGGATCTACCGTGTTTGTTTACCGTCCAGAGTGAGATTCTTTCGTGTCGGGATAGGGGTATGGTAAAACGTTTAGGTATCAGCTCGGATGTGACAAACTGACTGAGTGATCATCTAACTCAACCAACGAGACACTCACCACCGTAACTGGATCCTTGATCATGCTGTACAAGCTGGTCACTTGGAACGGCACCGTACACACAATAAAGGCAATGAGTAGAACGAAGAACAGCTTAACGACCTGTATAGATGTACGGAACATTCAACTTTGTAATATATTTGTGTATGTGTGTGTGCGCGCGCGTGCGTGCGTGCGTGTGCATGTGGTGTGTGTGTTTGTGTGTGTGTGTGTGCGTGTGTGGGGGGGGGGGGAGATCATGTGAAGATCATGAACATGAAACTAATTGCCCTATTTATATGCGTTTTAATCTTTAGAAAATACTCGGAGGGTGGAGGAGTATGAAACAGAACGGTTACATATAACAGTCAGCCTAATTTACTGACGAGCAAAAACATGCAATTATACATTAAAGATAATTTTACAGTGTAGCACAGTTCTGTCTTTTGCGTTCGCTGATATCACACCCAGGTTCGTCTTTAGTTTGCTACAGAAGGAGTCGATTAAAAGGGTATAGACGAGGCGAAAGATAGTGGTGATGATGATGATGATGTCTTGCTTGCCGCATGCCTCTCACGTGACTCTGATGCTTGTTCAATATAATGTCTGGAAACAACTTTTCTTTTCTGTACTGTCTTTATTGTGATACCTCAGCAATGTCACAAATAACATCAATGATATTCTTAAATGGAACTGTTTTTTCTATGGTTACAAACTCTTAAGGTCGCGTTGTGTTCTTCATCTCTAGTTACTTTGTTAATTGTTTCTAGTGTCTCCAACTTCCATCTGGCTTCTAGTGCTGTTTGGTACTAAGGACTTGATCGTCGACTCTAACATCTCAATAGTGTTCCTACCTAATGTGTCTCTGTTGACCATGGATCCATGTATCTTTTATGTCGTCTCTGTAGTTCGTAGTCTCGTTTCGTGTCTGCTCTCTAGTGACTGTCTTCGAGGATCCACGTGACTGGCTCCTCTTCGTCTAGTGTCGAGCTGGCATCTCTACAACTGCGAGGGTCAATGAGACTAATCGCTCGTCCCCTGAGTCTCAACGGCTAAAGATTTTTCTTTGAGAGTCGATACGACTGGTCCCTCCTATTCCAAGCCTCGACGACTGAAGGCTGCTAAAGTGGTTTGTTACTCATTATTTATACTTGGATGCTGGAATGCTAGGTATTTGTTTTCTTCTCACTTTGACTGCTTCTAGAATATTCGGGTATGCTAAGACTTGTTTACTATGTGCGTTCTCACGTGGGAATTTCTAAGTATATCGCTATTGCATCAGATTGCATCATCTTTTTCTGCATCTAAATATAGTAATTAAATTGAAAGCTAACGTCATAGAGATTTCCAGAAAGCCAGTACAACTGCGTTCACTTTGATAGGGCACATCAACATTGACGTCAAATATTAATTTGCAAAATATTGTTGCTAAGACCTGTTGACTTTCGTCCCATTAACTAATATGCAATATGCTACCTCCTGACAAACGTGATGACGTCTCCCTGTTACAACAGACAGTCTTACAATTTTTGTTGTTGTAGTTGTTGGGGAAGAGGTGTCTTAAAGTGCCTAACATGTGCCCAACGTTTTGTAGCATCCCTGTTACAGATCACGAGGAAGAATGCGGAACATATGGATCGATAACATCAACACCTGACAATGATCCAGGCCCACATTAACAAGACTAGAAGAATGCAAAAAAAAAACAGGCAAGATTAGAGCCACGACGAAGAACACGCAAGATTAGAACCAACACGAAAAACAGGCAAGATTATCACCAATACGAAGAACAGGCAAGATTAGAACCAACACGAAGAACAGGCAAGATTAGCCCTACCGCGAAGAGCACGCAATATTAGAACCACTAGAAAGAACAGCCAATATTAGAACCTCAAGAAAGACCAATATTAGAACCACCAGAAAGAACAGCCAATATTAGAACCACCAGAAAGAACAGCCAATATTAGAACCACCGGGAAGAACAGCCAATATTAGAACCACTAGGAAGAACAGCCAAGATTAGAGCCACCAGAAAGAACAGCCAATATTAGAACCACTAGGAAGAACAGCTAATATTAGAACCACTAGAAAGAACAGCCAATATTAGAACCACCAGAAAGAACAGCCAATATTAGAACCACCAGAAAGAACAGCTAATATTAAAACCACCAGGAAGAACAGCCAATATTAGAACCACCAGGAAGAACATAGTATGAAAAGGATTGCGCGGGGTATCGCTAACTGAGCGACTAGCCTGTGATCCCCAAGGGGACGTAAAACGGCCGAAACATGATAATGATGATGATGATAATGATAAGGATGAGGATATGTTTTGATTATCACAGTCGACCTTCACTGTACGTTGGGCACTCCCTGGCGTGCTCAGTCTCTGATGCAGCAGCCATTCCAGTGTACCGCTACTGATTGTTCCCATGAGGAGCTGGTTTTAATGTCTCCTATATCTTCCTCGAAGGCCTTAAGACCTGCTTCAGCATGCTTTACTCCCAAGTCGCGCAATCGTGTTAGCGTCAGAGATTCGACGTTGTCCACTAATCTAGTCCGTACAGAGGAGGATGACATGACGAAGAAAACCAAAAGTGGTTAGCATGCAATCCATTGTGCTTGGTTCTCTATCCAGAGGAGGTGGCATTTGTTTCCGACCAGTAACTCTCTAGAGTCGACTCAGGCTCGAAGACAAGGGCAGCAGATAATTTCCACAATTTAATTCTTTGAGAATGGTGTGACGATGAAACAAGAAAATCCTCAAGACGATTGTTGATGAGAGACCATAGGTACCAGACTGGGTTCTATCTTCTTTCTACCTCTGCCCTACTGCGTGTGACGCAAAACGTCGCAAAGAGAAGCTCGCTGTAGTTTCCTGTCCTATGCTAGTAGCGTAGTTTGTGTTGATGTCATACTGTATTTTTGTAGTGTCTCCTTTACTCCCTCGACTCATCATTTTTTAGGGGTGGGGGTGGGGGGGTGAGTGGTCTCGAATATGGCATCCGCCTTGAGTCCTGGAGTCCCAGGTTGAAGCCCCAGTAAAGGCTCGGATTTTTACACGTGTACTTCTAGTAATTTCCACTTGTCTCTGAGTAGTAAGATCGGACGCCCGTGTGTATTGTTGCGCACGTAAAAAACACCTTGGTAATTGGAAATCGAAAAAGATTAGTCTAGCGGGGCGCTGCCCGAGCAAAGATTTGGAGCTAAAAATCTACCCAAAAGTATTTCAGAATTCTCCCCAGTGCAACGGAGTTCGTCCATTGCACTGTGATTCTTCGGACTCAGGCTTGAGTTAGAAGTAGAACAGAGCATTTAGGGGTTACACCCGTGTGTTATGATGTTGATCCGTTGAATCAATCATAGACCAATCTCTTTCTTTCTGGGCGTCTTCCATACTAGTCTGCTGTTGTAATGCAGAGCGTTGCGTCAGATCGTGTGCGCTGAGTGTCAAAACTTCCATATGATTTGGATCCTTGTCTTATTCTAAGCATACAGTTGTGTCTGAGCCTGGGGATCTAGGGCCGCGTGGCTAGTGCAGTCGCTACAGACTATGCAGGTTAAGACAGATCCTCCTTAATAACATTACGGGCTCCTGAACAAACAATTGTGCTGGGGCCCCTACTACAACCACAGTTATGAAATGTAAATGTTTGATAATATTAAAGATATACTCAGGTTAGCGTGGAGCCTCAGGTCTTCGTAGGGTCCCAGGGCAAGTGCCAAGCGGGTCCGTGCGTAAGACGGCTCTGGTTTAGGATTTTGATTTTGCCTAATAGGGAAATAATCCATGACCTCACCGAGGATTCCTTCGACGATATTGACAAGATTGCAAAAGACAGAGCTGAATGCGGGAATGGGCTGCCAGTACTATATATATATATATAATATATATATATATATATATAATATATATATATATATATTATTATATATATATATATATATATATATATATATATAATATATATATATATATATATATATATATATATAGAATAGTGACTGGAAAGGATCTAGCCACTTTCAGGACTTTCATGGCGAAGTATATGTGCTGGCCTAACATTTCACAACCCAGCGGCAACATGTGCTATGGCAATAACATTTATTAAAGTGTATTGACAACATTTACCTGACACGTTTGTAAACAGTTGGAAAAAAATGAATTGACAACATTTACCTGACACGTTTGTAAACAGTTGGAAAAAAATGAATTGACAACATTTACCTGACACGTTTGTAAACAGTTGGAAAAAAATGAATTGACAACATTTACCTGACACGTTTGTAAACAGTTGGGAAAAAATGAATTGACAACATTTACCTGACACGTTTGTAAACAGTTGGAAAAAAAAAAACCTACCCATATTTGACTACAACCATAATCATCATCAGTCAACAGCTCCTTCACAGGACGCTGCTCTAGTCAAGTCAAACCATAAGGTATCTCTGTCTCTAGCCTATTCTCCAGCCCTATGTGCTTTTGTAGCCACTGCATCTTCATTGTTTCATAACCACATTCGCGGAGGTCTGCCCCTGCCTCGTTTCCCGGAAACTGTAACCGCCATCAATGTCCTCACCAGGCAACCACGACATTGAACATGGCCAAAATAGCTCAGCTTTTGGAACAGGATGTTGTTTATGATGCTCCTCGATGCTCAGATTATGTTCTTCTTCTTGTTTTAATTATATTTTCGAAATGTCTCTTCCATTTAGAGTTTCAAGAGATATAAAAAGTGATAGTTTCCCGTTGTCTTTCACATCCACACGGTGGAGCATCTCAACCTTCATCCATCTGTTAGATTGCCAGCAGAAGTGAGTTCCTTGCCCTGTGATACTATACTGAGAGCAGAAGTGAGTTCCTTGCCCTGTGATACTATACTGAGAGCAGAAGTGAGTTCCTTGCCCTGTGATACTATACTGAGAGCAGAAGTGAGTTCCTTGCTCTGTGATACTATACTGAGAGCAGAAGTGAGTTCCTTGCTCTGTGATACTATACTGGAGCAGAAGTGAGTTCCTTGCTCTGTGATACTATACTGAGAGCAGAAGTGAGTTCCCTGCTCTGTGATACTATACTGAGAGCAGATAGCGCCGCAGATGTCTCCGTTAGATGCCCGATTAAAGCTCTTTTTAACGGCTGAACGGAGTTTATGAGATTTCCTCCAAATGGAATCCCATCTGAATAGCGCCTCCTTCAGTTACTTGGTGTCAACCTTTCAGTGTAAAATCCTAGAGTTCGAATTGTTTATTATTTTTTAAAGTAGAAGAAATCAATCACCTTCTTGGTGGACCGTCTCTGAACTACAGGTGCATTATGGCCGAAGCTGCTAGCGTCCCGACCCCACTGCAGCCGATAGATGATGATCGCGTAGCTGACTGTCATGGCCGCCATTGGGAACCAGTTGAGAGCAGCCAGAACAACGATGTAGTAGGCCATCTGGGATGTTTCTCCGAAATCACACTTGCCATTTGGCAACACGAACATCTGGTTTGACAGGAATGTCAATAGATACATGACATTTGGCAACACGAACATCTGGTTAGACAGGAATATCAATAGATACATGACATCTGGCAACACGAACACCTAGTTAGACAGAAATATCAATAGATACATGCCATTTGGCAACACGAACATCTAGTTAGTCAGAAATGTCAATAGATACATGACATCTGGCAACACGAACATCTGGTTAGACAGAAATGTCCATAGATACACGACATTTGGCAACATGAACATCTGGTTGCACAGAAATGTCCATAGTTACATGACATTTGGCAACACGAACATCTGGTTAGACAGGAATGTCTATAGATACATGACATTTGGCAACAAGAACATCTGGTAAAACAGAAATGTCAATAGATACATGACATTTGGCAACAAGAACATCTGGTAAGACAGAAATGTCAATAGATACATGACATTTGGCAACAAGAACATCTGGTTAGACAGAAATGTCAATAGATACATGACATTTGGCAACAAGAACATCTGGCAAGACAGAAATGTCAATAGATACATGACATTTGGCAACAAGAACATGTCAATAGATTACATGACATTTGGCAAACAATAAACATCTGGCAAGACAGAAATGTCAATAGATACATGACATTTGGCAACAAGAACATCTGGTAAGACAGAAATGTCAATAGATACATGACATTTGGCAACAAGAACATCTGGTTAGACAGAAATGTCAATAGATACATGACATTTGGCAACATGAACCTCTGGTTAGACAGAAATGTCAATAGATACATGATATTTGACAACACGAACATCTGGTTAGACAGAAATATCAATAGATACATGACATTTGACAACACGAACATCTGGTTCGACAGAAATGTCAATTGATACATGACATTTGGCAACACTAACATCTGGTTAGACAGAAATGTCCATAGATACATGACATTTGGTAACACGAACATCTGGTTAGATAGAAATGTCAATAGATACATGACATTTGACAGCACCTTAGTCTTAATGAACAGAAAGGTCAATAGCAAATATAATACTTTTTTTTATTTTTTTTACTCACACCAATTGTCACTCAAAACTAATAAACATTGGGTATTTACAATTGAAAATAGTACTCCTATTTCTCAGAAGTAGTTGAAGTAACAGTTCCCGACTAGTTTATTCTGGTAACGACCGGATCAAACCCACAGAGATTAGTTAGGTTTATAATTTAACGAGCTACTGATGAACAATTAAGCACCATAAAAAATCTATGGTTAAGCACCAGTAAAGATATCAAATCAAAATTTTGAGAGCATACATCTTTACTGTAGCGACAATCGGATGTGAGTCGTGGACTATCACACAGTCCTCACAGAGGAAATTATGTACGTTTGAGCTAAAGTTCTATGGAGAGATTCTCGGAATACCATGGGCAAAGAAGAACAGAAATAATGACATCCTAAAATACTTGGACATTAAAGAAGATTGGCTAGTAAACAGTATCTGTCTTCGGCAACTGAAATGTTTTGGCCATATCAAGTGCCACAGCAGATGTGGAGAAGAGAAAATTAAAGGCAGAATTCACGGTACCAGGAAGGAGCGATGGGGTCGACCACCACGAAGTTGGGCGCAGATTATAGGTGAAACATCAACCCAGTGAAACAAAATACCAGTGTTCAGCTAATACCACTTCTGCTGCTGCTTAAGGGGATAGAAATGCGCGCAGCAATGTAGCGCCGGAATCATGTAGCGTCGGAATCATGTAGCACCGGAATCATGTAGCTCCGGAATCATGAAGCCACAGCATGATTAGATAGACATTAATGGCGGACCATGAAGACGTGTTCATGGGTGGACAACCTGTTGAAGAACACTAGGCTAGAAAAAGATTATCTGCCTCTTCTTTTCTCGTCACTTCATAACTCAGACTATTGAATTTTTTTTTTATACGGCCCCTGTTTCTTGTCAGTGCATGCTGCACACTCCATAAGTAAGACAAATTGCTGTGGTGTTTTGTTTTCTGTCGAAATACAGCGGTATCTCGGCTAACTCATGTAATTCGTTCCTGACCGTAGTTCGTTTTTCGAAACCAGATTCCTTGTTGCATTTTACGAGAAATCAATAACCCGTTCTGAGACAAATTGAAGGGTTACCCAAACTCTACTGTTCCCTTTCCACATAAAGTTGCGCATGTACATACAGCATTGGCCACACACACACAACTCGTTGCATCCTATTCCAGATAAATGCGACGTAGTAACAACAAACACATGCGCATCCGCAGTGCATCACGATTCGTCACTCGTATCTAGACGTCAAAATAAGATATGAAAAAATTGGTATCTTGAAAACGTTCCATACCTGATTCATGTTTTCTCTCAATTGGCACACTTGTACGCTCGTCTTCAGTTATGCATTACTCGGTGCATAACATATATTTCTGTCTCGATACCTTTCAACCAAATTAAAGCACATAATTTAATAATTATTTTTTTATCTAACCTTATTTCTAAATGAAAACATTGCCCGGCTCTCTAGCGAAGTTGGTTAAACCTGACTTTCGCAGCGGCCGGGTGACGAACTCCTTGTGGTCCGGGTTCACTCCCGGGGGTAGGCAGAAAAGCCACATTTCTCCCAGATTAACGGTACCTATAATGGAATCAAGGCCGAAGGGTTGCGATATCCATAGTACCGAGCCAAAGGGTTTACAACTCATGGTTTCTGGATACGTAAAAAAAAAATGAAAACATTAATTAATAATGAGAAAATGACTCACTACACAAGCCTTACCGGCCATACAGAGTCGCAGAACTTCTCCAGATGGTTGGCCCACTGGCGCTCCGAGTACTTGTTGTAGACGAAGAGTGGCACCGCCACCGCGATCGCCGTCGTCCAGACGATCACCAGGACGTACTTGACCTTGCTGTTGGTGACCCTGGCCTTGAGGGGGTACATCACGGCGAAGAAGCGATCTCCAGCTATGGCCACCATAGTAAAAGACAGAGCACACATTGCTTGTACTGGAAAAATAGTTTCAGACTGCATTTTAGTACGTTCCGAAATTCCTGCTGAACTTTAAAAATATGTAATTCAGTAACCGTTTAGGGTAGAAATGTACATGTAGCCATTAATCATGTCCTTGTATGTCTGTTGAATGCAAAGAAACATTTAGTTTTAATTTGGCCTTACTTGCGGTATTTGGAAGGGGAAAAAGACACTGATTCAACGCAAACAATCAGTATGCTTACAGTATCTTGAATAAACTGAGTAAAGGGAATTTTTTAAAACATCAAACAGCAGGCGTGTCATTAACATTTCACTCTCGAGTGGTCATCTACAGCAGTTGCCTTCTGTGTGTTGTTAGACGAACACAGCTTTTCAATGTATGTCCAGCAGGCTATAAAAATAGTCCTCACGCATCGCTGCATATGTGAAGTGATTTCAAAACAATAGCACGCATGTGTCAGTTGCTATCTATTCTATTTTTAAGGTGTACACAAACTATTAGTCAACCAAAGATCACAGAAATTCACCACTTTAAGTAAACAGCAGCACCCGTGCAACTGTAAATTATAAAATCATATGAACATGGGAAATCTAAAACCACATACACAAATTATTGTTAATCCATTCAGGAGTTTTCAAGATATTTTTTTAAATTGAGACCGCATGAGTTGTGAAACTCACTATAGTAGCAGCGCCCCCACCCCAACCCAGCACCTCGTCCCGGTGTAAGGGTTGCAAAAAAGTAATCATATCCTATCCCGTAATGCATGGTGGAGCTGCCGTGGCCCAAAAGCCGTAGGTTCAAATCCAAATGGAGCTTTTGCTCCAAGGTCGACCCAGCCCTAAATGGGTATCAGATAAAGTCCTGAGAGATTAGGTGATGAGCGTGGCGTTGTCCACATCACACCCAGCGAGTGCCATGGTCGATACAATATAGATCTAGCCCTATATGCCCAATACGCCCTTAGGGGTGGAAAAGGTACCTTTACTTTATTTACAGATGTTAGGGTGGGGTGGTGGGTGGGGTGGGGTGGTGGATGGATGGGGGGGGGGGGGGATAAATGAGAAACATTCAAATAACTGAAATAGAGACAAGTGAAACATTCTGCCCGCATTAAAATACCACTCTTATAGAAACCATAAGAAGGGGGAAGTTGAAGACGGGCGAGCAAGTGGTAGACAGTGATACAAATGGGACGACAACATCAAGAAATAGAAGAACAGCATTGCGAGGGATGGACACAAACGAGCGAGCTCCTGGTTGATTGTTTACTTTTATTGCGAGTCTGTATTAAAATGTGAACTACGCAACAAGCACAGACAAATGACCAGACAGACAGATAAAAAGAAGACATACATACAGACATAACTTACTCTGTATAAAAGCGTTAAATTTGCAGAAAAACCCCCCAGTTGCCCACATTTTGTTCACATCCTTGACCAAAAAAATCCAGGTCGGGAAGCAGGCTATAATTAAATCCGCCACTGCCAGGTTAATTATGTACATGTTGGTGGTCGTCCGCATCGCCTTTGACGAGCTCACGATGACGATGATAAACAGGTTTCCGACGACAGCAGTTAAAATAATGATAGCCATGGCGACACATTTTACATAAACTTCCCACGACACCATGGGAACGATTACTTTCGGGAAAGGAAAGTGGCTGAAGTCTATATTGCCAGAATAGCTTGCCTTCAGGTTACAAGTTCCTGGTTCCATTTCTGATTAAGTATAAACTAAATATATGAACTACAGTATGTTCCAGAAGTTCTGCCGAACCTCAAAAATAGGAATTCAGTAACCGTTGGGTGTAAGCTGTTAAAATTTAGCATGCAGTCTGTTGGTACTAATGTCTTTGTGTTTTTTTTTATTTTAATGCAAACAAATATCTATTTTTTATTTCGCCTTTTTGGAGGTATATGAAAACAATTCCATTAAAACTCAGCATGCTTTCGGTAACTTGACTGAACAGTAAGGGGAACTTTTCCAAACATTAGCTTGCATAAGCGTTTTACTCTCAGTTGGTTATCTCCTGCATCAGACGTGAACTGTGGATGTTTTTTTTTTATTGAGTAGGGAATAGGCTATCAAAATAATCACCACTTTATAGGGAATTTAGAGTGAATGTATTGGAGGTTTACTTTCAATGAGGCGTCAATATCCATCCAATAGTCTGTCTGAATCCTATCAATTTCCTATTAATATCCAGTCAATATCCTTTCAATATCCTGCCAATAGCCTGTCAATATTCTTCCAATATCCTGTCAATATCCTGTCTTTATCGTAACAATATTATCTCAATATATTGTCAAAATCATAGAAAAATCATGTCAGTATCCTACTATCCTGTCGATATCATATCAATATCGATATCCTGGCTATATCGAATGAACATTCTATCAATATCATATCAATATTTTATCAATATCCTGTCAAAATCCTATCAAAATTTGTCAATATCTTGCCAATATCCTGTCAATATTAATACCGGTTACGTTTACTTCCCAGAACATTTTCTTGTAACCCTTTGAGAATGAGTTGCCTGCAAGCTCTGATGTGAGTTGAAACACAAAACCACCAGGTCGGAAGACAACTAGCTACTGAACTAAAGAACATTAGTGTGTATCTTGTACAGTGCACATACGGCAAAAGCTCGAGGTTTGCATAAGGCAGCGGTTATCCCTGGCTGCTTGGTGGAGGTAACAAGCACAACAAAGATATTGAAAACCCACACCTGAAGAAAATGATCCAGCGAGGATCTTCTGCACGCTCAGGCGCCCCTCGAGACTCGACGGGGAAAGGCAAAACGAGTAGATAAAGCAGATGACAGCGGGTACCACCAGTCTGCAGACTCTTCACATACTATTAAGGAGGGGGACTGCGCTAATATTGGCTAGTCCTAGATGCTGTAATGTTGAATAGTTAGTTAGTTAGTTAGTTAGTTAGTTAGTTAGTTAGTTAGTTAGTTAGTTAGTTAGTTAGTTAGTTAGTTAGTTAGTTAGTTAGTTAGTTAGTTAGTTAGTTAGTTAGTTAGTTAGTTAGCTAGTTAGTTAGCTAGTTAGTTAGCTAGTTAGTTAGCTAGTTAGTTAGCTAGTTAGTTAGCTAGTTATTAGACAGATAATCCTCATTGCGCTGGGATATTGTCCATATGCGCTGGGATCCCATCTTGAGTATATCCCTCAACTTGTGGCGACTGATAACGCCAGTTCTGGGTTGGTTTGCTATTCATCTTTGGCTACCTGTATAGTGTTCATGTTTGACGACACTTGTTTTGACCTAATCTTTACCCAAATGAACCCAGCTATTGAGGTCGTATAGGCAGGCAGTAATTTTAATTTATGCATTTGTTTTTGACACCTTCCTGTCTTTCCACGAGGCAGTTCTCAGGGACAAGACAGTCTAGTCAGACACACAAATAAATGGACATCTACATGTAATCATTTGAAATGTATAACTAAGTCAGACAATTTTTTCATTACAGCTTAACATTATATGTATTTCTATGATGCTAATCAATCTATTTTTACCACCCACATCATGTATCGACTGTCAACTGATTTATAAATATTTGAAGCTAGCACAATATGCCTAGCTGGCATCATAGCGTGGAACCTAATCTATGACTTAATTTTTATACAGTTTGCTAATGGTATGACCGTCGTACCATGCAGAAGCAAACTATTTAACGCAAAGCTGTCTAGTAAAACCATAAACAATTAATAAAGGTAGGATTAGACCTTAAAAGGGTAAGTAAATATATTGACATAAGTCTATATCTGCATGTAAATGATAGAAATTACCACATGTATTGCCACAGTCTGTACAAAATAATATCTACATTAATCAACGAGTCTTCTAGTCGAATCGGAACAAATACCACGGCATTAATCCTGCATTTGTGGCAGCTTCTTCAATCTGTTTTACACAAACATCTAAGCGTGCGGTTTTGTACGGCAATGTTTATTTTATCAAAGCTTCCAAGCAAATGCTGCTTAATTATTAATGGCGTTTTATTGTACTTCTCTGTAAACATATTATTCATAAAAAGACAGATTTTTGGTTAGCAGGGGCGCCGATAGCAAGAAAACATGGGGTGGAGGTGTCAGGGTAGGCTCTGAGACTTATTGATGTGCTTAATAATAATCTTCTGAATGGCAAAAAAATATAATGATACATATGAAATGTTGGTGTTGTTGCTACCTTTTCGTCTTTCCAGACGACAGCGTTATATTTACTGTACAATGAGGAGGCATAGGACTCACAGTCCATGGCGATGGCGAGTGTGACTAGCAACGCCCGCACGCGTTTAGCAAATTCTTCTACATTTAAAGCATTGGTTTTCAGGGCCGTTGTTTCTACCACTTGCCTGTTTCTTTTCAGACACTCAGTTCTCATTCTTTCTTAAATCATGTCTTCCTCATTCTCATTCCCTGCATTAAGTACCCCCTTCTTTCGGCCAGGCCCTCAGTTTTGCGTGTACATCCGTTTTACTGGCTTATTTGTGTGTAGCTGATTGTTACTTCCGGCTCGGGTAGATGCTCTCCCTCTTCGAAGGAAGCTTCCAATTAAATGGACTCCTACGACATGTTTGTTTAGGAGTTAGTGGGTCTATTCTTGTTTTCCCCCACATCGGGGCCTCGCAACCCACACGGATGTGTGGATGTGAAATAGTAAAATAATATAAATACACAAGCTAAACATCGCTTTGGGGTGGGGGTGGGGGTGGGGGTGGGGGTGGGGGGTGGGGGTGGGGGTGACTTTAGTTGTCTTACAAAATGTTGTGGTTGAAAGACACCCCCCCCCCTTTTTTTCCCATCCTTTACATTTTTTCCTTCAGAGGGGGGGGGGGTGTGGTATGTGTGTGTGTGTGTGTGTGTGTGTGTGTGTGTGTGTGTGTGTGTGTGTGTGTGTTTAGGGGCGCGGGACGGGGGGGGGGGCCTCAGTTCTCTTACAAAATTATGAGGACCAAGAGCCCCTACCTCCTCCTCTACATTTGTTTCCTTCGGGGGGTGGGGGTTAATCTGTTTGTATTTATGTGTATATGTGTGTGTGTGTGTAAGTGTGTGTTTTGGGGCGCTGAATGTGCCTGAGGCAGGCCCCTCCCCCTACTTCCAGATTATGGCGCCACTGGCAGCAAGCAGCATCCACGCCCATATTTTTGGTGTACTCTATGTCACTGGAACAAAGAAATGGGAAGCTTTAGTGCGAGTATTTTGTGACCACCAGTTAGTGTCTGTCCTGAATCGTTGGCTGGTAGTGTCTCAGTTCATTAGTCTTTGTACCTTCGATTCCCCCCCCCCCCCCCTATAGGTTCTAGTAAAAAAGATGTAAAATACGGTGACACCTCGTGCTTCCAACCTGGTATGCGCCCTGTTTAGACTTGAAACAATCTGCTTGGTATACGACCTGTGTGCTTAAATTTGTATCACTCAAAATGAGTCACCACACCACGCGCTGCTCCCCCCCCCCTATTTGGGGGGGGGGGGTCTCTCGTTAATCAGGGAAAGTTCCCAAAAAGATGGATACCAAACGTATTGCAGAAAGCTATCACTCTGCAAAGCCTAAATAAGCCATAATGACATTGTTTTGGATGACCGGACAATGTCACATTTCTGAAATGTCCTGAGGAGAAGGCAGAAGCAAATTGTTTTTGACAGATGTTTAGTAATGATCTACATCCCCCCCCACCCCCACCCCCACCCCCCCCCCACCCCCCCACCCCCCAGGTGCAGGTCTCTCCTTGCGAACAATAGCATCACCCTCTGCTCCCTAGACAGCAACATTCTAGCAGGCACTCGATAGCATCACCCTCTGCTCCCTAGACAGCAACATTCTAGCAGGCACTCGATAGCATCACCCTCTGCTCCCTAGACAGCAACATTCTAGCAGGCACTCGATAGCATCACCCTCTGCTCCCTAGACAGCAACATTCTAGCAGGCACTCGATAGCATCACCCTCTGCTCCCTAGACAGCAACATTCTAGCAGGCACTCGATAGCATCACCCTCTGCTCCCTAGACAGCAACATTCTAGCAGGCACTCGATAGCATCACCCTCTGCTCCCTAGACAGCAACATTCTAGCAGGCACTCGATAGCATCACCCTCTGCTCCCTAGACAGCAACATTCTAGCAGGCACTCGATAGCATCACCCTCTGCTCCCTAGACAGCAACATTCTAGCAGGCACTCGATAGCATCACCCTCTGCTCCCTAGACAGCAACATTCTAGCAGGCACTCGACTCTACTCAGCAAGGTCAAGGGAGGTTACATTTTTATTTATTTTATCTAATTGTTGTTATACTTGTGTATTAAACACTTTTGAAATTAGTTTCTAGAATCTTATTAATCTCTAATATGACTATAACTTTAGATTGTTCTTCTTCGTGGGAAAGAATTAATCATTGTTTCGTATACGTCCTGTTTGGTATACGTTCTGTTTTGTGTACGACCTGTTTAGAATCCGTCCTGCTTGGTAAACGTCAAAGTAATTGATCTAGGACGTATACGGAGGTACCGCAGTATATTTCATGTGTTTCATATCAAACAAAGCGCCACAGCTCTGATCATAAACTCTTACATGATTAAGGAGAAGTGAAGTAAATCAAACAAAGCGTAACAGTGTTGGAATGTAAAACCTTATGTAGAGAATGAGTGAAATATATACATGGAGTTCCCTCCCCTGGCCTGCAGAACACCTCATAGGCAGAGGCAGATTATT